TGTGTCTTATTTTTGTCTGTGATTCCGGGGATTAATGGAGGGTTTGACGTATAAAAGACTCCATATGTGGCTGTGAGACAGGATTCTATTCTGGACTTGAACCGTGATGCAGGGACTGGGCCTGGTTTGAGCCTCAGGCTTCATCGTGAGCCCCACCTGGGTGTTTGGAATCTGTTTCTCTCTGATTTGACCACTCCTGCGCTTCCTAAGAAAAAAATAACTGGCTCCATTTGGGCCATTATCCTTAGTTTTTAAAGTCCAAAGATCTTTCATTTGCTTAGAAATTGGTATGTTTCTTTGATTAATTTCTTATATCTTGGGCCACATTTCATGTTTTGCCCCTCCTGAGTCTGTTTTGTGCTAATGGCATGATAGACAAAAGAAGCGTATTTATCTCTAATCTCTCCAGGACCTGAAGAGATAAAAGTTTCCAATTAGTATTCTTTCCCTGGCAGCCCCACTTCATAATTAAAGGGCTTCATTGGCTTTGGACAGTTTTAGAAGTAAAACTGAGTGCTAACAGAGATCCAGGGGCAAGACCTCATGAGTGGAGGCCAGAGAGGAAAGACGCCAATGAAAGGGGCAAGGAGGAGGCTACTGTTTCTGGAGAGGCAAGGAAGGACAAAAACAGCCCCTGAGATAATTTGCTATCCTGAAAGTGGAGTCAGGGGCCATTTCCACTGAGGCAGTGAAGTTTGGGAGTCAGGAAATTTCAGGGAGCTCATCCTTGTTTCTACTTTGTAAAATGCTACTGAATAAATCCAGGAATCTTGGTTTGTAACTCCTTCCCCTAGAAACTCACTTTATCGCCTAAATATGTGCTGAAATATTGCTTTGAAGGCAGTCATGAGGGCTATCAGAGGTCAGCTTACTATGGAGAGGTGGAATGTGACTGGCTGGATGTTGGGAAACATCTGGGCATCCATCTAGTTTCTGTCCTGCCCCACCACCACATACCCCTCTGCCCAAAGCTCACAGCTGCTCTCTGTTCTGGGCTCTCTCACATCCATGCTTTGCACCATTGCTCTCTCCATCGAGAACATTCTTCTCCCTGACTTAGGTTTTCTAAAAGCAGGAAGGAAGCCAGGAATTCATATGATTTCTTGAGGGCATGGTGGCAGGAGAAGGGAAGGGAGGGAAGAAGGGGACTGGAGGGTAAGGAGCTGAGCAAGAATGTGATCTCAGCTGCTCCTACAGGGAGCTCTGAGTGTGAGTTGCATCACAGAAATTGTCCCAGTTTCGGGCAGGGCCCCTCGACCCCCATGACTGTCAGTCATTGCAGAGGGGAATATCTCTACATATAGGACTTGACTGGTGGCTCAGACAATAAAGAATCTGTCTGCAATGTAGGAGACCTGGGTTCAATCCCTGGGTCAGGGAGATCCCTGGAGAAGGGAATCTTCTAGTATTCCACTCCAGTATTCTCGCCTGGAGAATTCTATGGACAGAGGAGCCTGGCAGGCTGCAATCCATGGGATCACAAACAGTCAGATGTGATTGAGTAACTAACAGTATCCCTGGTTATAGGTGAGGTACCTCCCCTTGGCTAGGGCCAACTGTCCTGAGAATGGGGTCAGTGTGAATTGTAGCAATTGAGACCTCCACAGCAGCTGATGGTGGGAACCCTGTCCTGGCAAAGAAACTCCTGGTGGAGTGTCAACAGCATCCCCCACACTGCCCTTTACCCTGCTAAGTTTTGTTAGCTGACTTTTCAAGACTTGGTTCTGGTCATGCATTCTTTGACCACTTCTTTCCTTTTTAGCAAGTTAGATAGCCCTCATCTGTATTCAGTAGCCTCCTGGATTTACTAACCTCCATGCCATCTCACTGTCCATCAGTGGGCCTCCTCTAGTCGTCTCCTGGGTGATACAGGATTACCCTTTCCCATCTTTATCTATCATGCTTGCATAGTATGTGGGGCTTCCCTGGTGGCTGAGAGGATAAAACCTCTGCCTGCAGTGTGGGAAACCTGGGTTCAATCCCTGTGTTGGGAAGATCCCCTGGAGAAGGAAATGACACTCCATTCCAGTATTCTTGCCTAGAAAATCCCATGCAAGGAGAAACCTGGTAGGCTACAGTCCATGGGGTCGCAAAGAGTCAGACTTGGCTGAGCGACATGACTTTCTTTCTTTCACATAGTATGTACAACATAATGCATGCTAAGTTGCTTCATTTGTGTCTGGCTCTTTGCAACCCCATGGACTGTAGCCTGCCAGGCTCCTCTATCCATGGGAGTCTCCAGGCAAGGATACTGGAGTGGGTTGCCATTTTCTACTCCAGTACAGCATAATGGTGTTCCATAAAATTGTGTTGAGTGGATGAGTGAAATCTTGAGTCCTCCATTAGTTTGCTGTGTGATTGAGGTCATAACTTTTGTGAGTCTAAATTCCCACTTTTTAAAGTAAGGTATAATATGTGCCTATTGGTCTGTTAGTGTTGTTAAGAAGGTCAAGCCACCCAGCCTGGTCTTAGCCATGAGGCATGGTATGAAAACCGGATCTTGTTTTGTCTGGCTCACCCTAGTGCAAGCATCTACTTAACAAAGAAAAATGGTGTCCCTCCCACCTATTTCCTATCTTGGTACCTTGGACAGTTCGAACAGATCTTCCATATATAACACAAGGCTGAACTCTTGAGCTTCTCCTGAGCTTCCAGTTTGCCTACTGGAACCACTCAGGATGTCAGCTCTGTGTTTCACAGGACAGTCCTTATGATTCAATTATTTCAGGGAGTGTTGTTGCCTCATCTGCTGTTCTCACTTCTTGATGACAGTTGCAGCCAAACCTTTGAAGGTTGAGTCTTGCTTGTCTCCTTCCTTCCTTGGTTGTCATCAGCTCCTGCTGTTACCCAGATGAGATGGAGAGAGTTGGACTCTCAATGTTGGTTAAGTTCCCAGGAAAAGGATCCTCGAGAAAGTCTTCTGAGGACATGCATGGAATTTTGTCTTGATTTTTTCTAATCATGCCAACTCAAAGGAGGACATTTCTGCTTAGAGGGATCCTACCCTCCCCTATTTGAGCAAACTTCGGGAGCTGGTGAGGGGTAGGAAAGCCTGGCATGCTGCAGCCCAAGAGATTGCATGGAGTTGGACATAACTTAATGGCTGGACAGCAACAACAACACGCCCCTATTTTTCCTCAACAAAATCCTGATGATAAATTACATCATATGTGTAATCAATTTTGGTTTTCTTGAATAATGTATGATTATATTAGGGTGATGTGGATGCACCAATATACCAGGGGCTGAAATACTTGGGCCCTATTTCTAGTGGCCATTAATTAGCAGTATAACCTTAGGCAACTTTATCTCTTTGTTTTTGAGGTGCTACAGCACCTCTCAACATGTGAGAGGAATGAAGACAAGACAGTGGACAGAATAAATAATTACTGAAGGGCCCACATTAACAGGATTTACTGATGGTTTTGATGGAGAAGTAAGGGAGAAAGAGCGATCAAGGACAACTCTCAAGAGTCTGTAGGAGCTCTAGCAAGTTGGGTAGGTAGTGGGAACCTGCAGAGAAAATAGAGGAGCATCCAGGGAGATGGGGGAAAAATCGTGGGGTTGAGGAGTCCTGAGAGCCCACATAATTCCAGACAAGAGGTGTGGTCCGCACCACTGCTGAGGTTTCCAGTAAGATGAAGATTAAAAATTATCCTTGGGCTTTAGCAGTAAAGAGGTCACCTGATGATCACAGAGGCTTTTTAAAGCCTGTGATAGGGGTGGAAGACGGATTGGAGTGAATGGAGGAGTAAGTAGGAGGGGAGCATATGGAGACTGCAGGGAGAGAGAACTTTCTGGAAAACTTTGGGGTGTGAGGAGGAGGAGGAGAGGGGACTATAGCTGCAGGAAATGTGGAGTAAAAGGGAGGTATTTTTAAGTCGGGGGAGATTTGAGCCTTTTTAAGTGATTGAGAGGAAAGATTTGGCTTCTGCGTAGAAGAGAAACAGGCTAATTGATACCCTGAGAAGATCAAGGAAGAGGGCCAGAACACAGGAGGAGGGACCAACCTTGGCAGAGAAGGGCACTGTCTTGAATGTCACGTCAGGGATACATGTGTTGCTGTGGAAACCACACTCAAATTCACTGACTAGCTGCTGTTTCTGCTTCCCTCACCGCAACCACAGTATCTGCTAGATACTTTTTCTCTAGACCTCGGTTCTCAGCAGCCTGAACTCCGTGTGTGTGTGTCCATTGCAGGAAGGAGAATATCCCAGAACTGCACAGGCATATTCTTCGTCATTGGGACTAACCCCCTTCCTGCCTCTGTTCATTCAGTGTTTGATCAGGAGTGAGTCACACCCAAGCTTCCCTGCACGCTCACCCCTATCCACACATCCACTCTCACCTGATTCACAAGTTCACATCCTGCAGACCCACAGTCAGCTCCCTCTCTCCTCACAGATGAACTAGACAAGCTACTGTTGCTGAGAGTATGATGGTTTCATTTCCCATGATCTGCGTCAGGCTCCTGTGTCTGGGTCCAGGATGAGTCAGCATTCTCTAATACTGTTGGCCGAATGTACTTTTCTTATAAATGAAATTGTTGTCTTTGTTTACTTGCTAAGTCGTGTCCAACTCTTTTGCAGCCCCATGGACTGTAGTCTGCGAGGCTCCTCTGTTCTTAGGATTTCCCAGGCAAGAATACTGGAATGGGTTCCCATTTCCTTCTCCAGGAGCTCTTCTAGACCCAGGGATTGAACCCATGCCTCCTGCATTGGCAGGTGAATTCTTTATCACCGAGCCACTAGGGAACCCCATCAATGAAATTATTGTTCCCATTTTCCTTGTTGATAGAGGGGCCTAAAGGAGTCTACTGACCTCCATATGTGTGTTAAGTGGCTTGAGTGTCAAGATGTATGACTAAATTCTAGATGTGTTAATAAAATACTAACCCTATAAAAAATTCATGTCACATTTTAAAACAATCCAGGAAGCAATGACTAGAAACATCAATTAACTGAGAGCTTTAATATGCTTATATGTTTGTGCATAACTAGCTTTCTAAAGGCCTGAAGACAGAAGCACAGACTTTTTAAAGCAACAAGCAATGGCAAGTCAATAAACATCCTGCCCCTCCTCTGCTCATCCAGCCCAATGATGATGAAATGCACACCGACAGGAGCAATGAGAAAAATAATAACATCATCACAGGATCGATGTCTATTGCTGGCTTCATAAATAAAGGACTTGGCTTCCTATTGATGTTTAATTTTTGTAAATGCCTCTGGAAATTTAAGTAGCAGTAGGAAAACATTATCCTGAGATAATGTTCAATTTCTCCCAACATAAGCTCCTAAACCTTGGACGTGTTCAGCTTTTAGTCTGGGACAAATTCTGGAGAACAAATTTCTTTGGAACAGACGGTGGTAGATTGATTTTAAATAGGCTGACTTTGGTACTCTGGATCTAGGGGACAGGAGAGTAGAAGATGGAACAACAGAGGCAGAGAAGGCCTGGTGTTCCTGCTTCTTCCATGGCTTGTTCAGAGGTATCCGTCAGCAAAATGGGAGATTCTCTCTCCTCCATCCACATCCCACAGCCAATGCAGCAGCCTTTGCTAAATTCGTGAGTCCTGGGGGACAGACAAGGCTTGGAAGGAAGGGTTCATCTATCTCTGTAGGATACTGTGATGTCCTCATATCCTGTTACCTCTTGCTGTACATCAATTACTTTGGGCACCTGGCTTGAAAAACAAATCAACGCCTGCCAACTCTACCCTAGCAAAAGCACTAGAATACTTTGCAGGCGAGAAATCATAGATATTAAAGCTGAAAGGGAGCTTCCTCAAGAGATCTGCTAATCTAGGATTCCTCAGCTTTCAGGAAGGTAAGCATGAATGCCCCCATTCCTCAGAAGACGTTCTGAAAATTGAGCTAATTAGAATAGAGGGCAGGTAAGTGTCTTCTACCCTGAGAGCAGTGTTTCTCTGACAGCTTGCACAGAATCACCTGGTTCTTGTTAAAACACAGATCCCTGGACTCCCAACCCCAGCATCTCTGATTCTGTGTATACAGGGGTAGGGCCCAGGAGTGTGCATTTCCTTTTTTAAAAAATTATTTCTTTATGGCTATGCTGACTCTCACTTGCGTCATGTAGGATCTCTTGTTGTGGCACACAGACTCTGTAGCTGAGGCTCACGTGCCAGTAGTTCCAGCTCTCAGGCTTAGCTGCCCTGTGGCATGTGGGGTCTTAGTTCCCTGACCAGGGATCAAACCCTTATTCCCTGCAGTGGAAGCTGGATTCTTAATCACTGGACTGCCGGGGAAGTCCCCAGGGTGCATTTCTAACGAATTTTTAGGTCCTGCTGATGCTCTTGGTCTTTGTCTTTACTTTGAGAATCAGTGGACTAGAGTCTCCTTTCTTGATTTCGTGACCCAGAAGCTGGGCTGTCTTAAGCTACCAAGTGAGTTGTTCTGTAACCCATTGTGTCCAATAGGGGCAGAGAATATGTATGTTAAGCTTCTTACTTAAGCTGAGACTGCAGAGTCTTTGCTCGAGTGAGAGCAAGCTGTTTTTCTCACTGTGACTTTAAGGCCGGTTCCTGCTACTCCAAAGACACGTGGGCTTGAAAAGACACGGGGATCCCTCAGGTATCCCAGCCTCTGACCTGGTTTCTTTTAACTTGAGAAGAGCTGTCACTTTGCTGGGAATCTGAAATAGAAAGGCAGATTTGTAAAGGCCTTTCTGACTCCAGACAGCTGGATTTGCACTCACCATGGTGATCGCGCAGTGCCACGCAGACCTGACAGTGACGAATGATGCTGGTTCCCCTGGAATTCCACCAGAGCTACGGGGTAGAGACCCCGGTCACTGAGCCCAGCACCCTCTGGCTCTTCCCCAGCAAGGTTTGAAAAGCCGACATGTAGCAAGGAGGCTGGTGGGAAAGAGGTGCCAGTTGGGTGTGGCAGCTTTGCGGTTTAGCTGAGGATGCAGTGTTAGGGATAGGGGATCAGCAGGAGAGGAGGGAACGAAAGGGTTTTCTTCAGTCCCAAGAACTCTAGACCCTTACCTGACCTCCCTTCTCTGATGGAAGAGTCTCATGAGAAAGTATACTTGCCGCAGAATACAGTCCCAGCCCCACCCCTGCCTGAGTCACATCAGTGAGGACAATTAGGCTCTTCCCAGGGATGTGTTCTCAATATCCTACTTGCATTATATTTCATGTAAGGGTTAGAAAACAGAAGTGCTGGAATTTTCAAGTCCTTGTCCTGCTTCTCTCTGTCAGTTTCTAGTGTGCTGCCTTTATAAGCATGTCCCCCTATTGTATTAATTGCCCCCATCATTTTCCTTTTGTATTCTTTCTCACTGGTTTCTCTTCTTTGTTTCTCTTTGAGGGATTGAGATTTCTATTCCTCCACTCACCTTTCTGTCCAGTCTTTGACTTTTAAGAACAGACTATGTAGGTGATTATGAAACACAAGGGCCAGTTGAGAGCCATTTCTTCCCCAGCAACTTGCATTTCAGGCAAAACAAGCCTGTGTTTCACTTCTGTTTTGCTTAATGTGTTACTGAAATGTGACATGCATACAGAGAAACGCACCAATCGTACATTTTCGGCAGATGGATTTCCACGCATGAACACGTGGAGTGACCAGCACCCAGGTCATGAAACAGAAAATGCCTGGTACCCCCAAAGCCCCAGTGTTTTCCTTCAGTAACTTCCTGCCCTCCAAGATATCATTGTCTTGACTTTTAACAGATTAATTTTGACTGTTTTTTAGCTTTGTATAAACAGGGTTATTCTATATATACTCTCTGATGCCTGGCTATTTTTCTCAACTTTGTGTTTGTGAAATCCGCTGGTGCTGTTATATCTAGTTCATTTTCCTTGTGCTCTCTTCTCTGTGTGATGAACATATCACACTCGATTCATTTGGCTATTAATGGAAATTTGGGCTTTTCCAGTTTGAAGCTGTTATAAATTTTGCAACTATTCACTTTCTTTTACATGTTTTTCTGAGAATATGCATCCTTTTTTTGTGTGTGTTGAATCTATAAATGGGTGGAATTGCTATTTTATAGATTGGCATTTATTCAGCTTTGGAAGATACTACTTTATGGTTATCTATAGTCGCTCTACAAATTTATACCTATACTCCCACCAGAAAAGCCCAAGAACTGTAGTTCCTCTGCAGACCTACCAACATCTAGTATCTTTAATTTCAGTCATCTGGTAGGTGTGTGATGATGAGGGTTGGTAGGTTTAATTTGCATTTCTTCAAAAACTGATAAAATTGGCCAAATTTTAATATGTTTACTGGTGGTTTGGATACCCTTTGTGTTGAAGTACCTGTAAAGTATTTTTCCCATTGTAAAAATTGGACTGTTTTCCTTTTCTTGTTGCTTTGTAGGAGTTTTTCATAATTGTGGATATGAATACGTTGACAGGTACTCTGGAGCAAATGTCTTCTGCCAGGTGTTGGCTTGCCTTTGACTCGTCTTCAAACCCTTTATGTTATGACTGTCAAACTCACGCTTAAACTCCAGCTCAAATGTCATCTAACTGGTGACTTAGTCTCCATCTCCTTTCTCTTGGAGTTGTCGCCTGCCCCCTGTCCTGCCGCAGTGCCTCCTGGCAGTTGTCACGTTAGTCAAAATGACCTCTTTGCTTACCTCTCCTTTCCCAGCCCCAGAGTACCTGAGACACAGACTATTCTAGATGGAAACAGTGGCAGTCGTTTTTTTGTGGAGGTTCTGGGTGTTGTGTTTCTTTTTTACTTTGTAACCTCTGTGTCCCAACTTTCTATTATGTGTATGCATTATGTTTGTAATGATAAAAAGATATTAATATATACCTTAATATTGTGCACTTGATCTTGCCTCACTATGTGTTGGGCATCTTTCCAGAGATTCTTTCAACTCAGTGTGGTAAAACATGAGCTCCTGTTTAGTCTTTCCATCTCAGCCCAGTTTCTTTCCTGGCCTTTGTGATGGGTATGGGATAGGATTATAGAAAATTGCTCTAACTTCAAAAATTACCTTTTAGTCCTTCCTGCAACATCCAAACTGTGATTTCCAGCTCTACTGTCTTCGCCTCTCTCTGTTCTGTTGGAAAACTAATACAGCTTTTAAATTGTTCCTTTGCCCACCTTTGTCAGCTAAGAATTGCACTTGATGGAATTAAGCAGATAAGGAAGACTGTATTCAAGACTGTTGTTATAGAGGTCAGCTTCACTGCCATAGGGGAGAAGGGCTGACCTCAATGCCACTGAAACAAAAGCAGAGAGTTTTTAATCTCTGGGGTGAGCTAGTAGAAAAGTATTGTGGGACTCTAGGGGGAAGGTAGGTCAGTATGATTAGCTCATCTGTGTCTGCTAATTGGTGTTTATCAAAGTTAGGCCTCTACCCTCCCACAGACAGAGATGACTGTAATCATCTCTCTTGATGGTTCTGTTTCAGAAGGATGGCTCTTCAGTCCTTGAGAAAGACTCAGGATTCTTGGGCTGTAATTGGCTGGGAGAAGAGTTACATTTCCAAAGGACAGAGAAAGAATTTATAGTTTCCTGAAATAAGTAATAAAAAAGTAAAGTAAGTCATGCTTTGAGAAAAGGGAGGTCAGGAGCCTATAGTCAGGAGGAAGCCTGTCTAAAGTTTAGTGAGAGGAACAGTAAGGCTGTCTTGCTCACCCTCACTCCAATTTAAATGTGATAATTTGAATTTGATTCTGACATTCTAACCCTGTGTTCTAAAACTTTCCGTGGCTTAGTACTGAGTGATCTGTAACCTCAGGCATGTATGGAAGAGTCTTCATGTCCTCACCCCAGCCTCTCCTGAGTCTTATTCCCTCCACACTGGAGGTGAAGTCACCATGAGCATTCTGAAAATGGTCGAAGGAAACAGATTGAGGGAGGTGAATTTCAAAGCATCACAGGATATGAGTGACCACCTGGGGGGTGGGTGATTTGAGTCATGGGTTGGGTGAGGATGGAGCAGGAGAACTAAGCCCAAGTAAAGTGCAAAGTCATTAGACTCCCCACCAGGTGTGTTTCTGGGAAGATGGACATCTCCTCTCCAGTGGTGCACAGAGAGTGACCTGCTCAGACTCCTCGGCTGGGGCACAGCTGCCCTTTCAAGGGCTTTCATCTCAGGGTTTAGCAAACTTTGGAGGCTTTTCCTCATGTGGAAGCCTTCTGTGATCTATCAAGGTCAATGGGACAGTGGGGCAACCGTGTCTCATGCCCACCCTCTGCAGGTAGGC